AAGTGAATTTCTTGAGAGTAGCTGTGTTCTATTCATTTCCATAGCAGCCAGCAAAGAGTCTGAATTATTGGTAGCTTTTCAGTTAATATTTGTAGCATCAAGTGGATGATGCTTTGAACCCAAAGGGATGACAATGACTTTAGAATAAAGAAATGAGTGAAGAAATATTAGTGGGAAACCTGTAGGCTTTAAGACTGCTTGTTATGTATCATTTGTAATATAAAAAAAAAAAATCCCTTTCTGGCAGCCCTAGGAACAGTCACTCTTCAAAATGTCTTTCTAGATCTTGTTCTCAATGTTTTTCACAGTATTTCCCTTTCTACTTTTCTCCCAGTGTCTCTATGAAAGACAAAGCTTCCCAAAGCAGAATCTTGGAATAAGACAGCTTCCCACATCCCCACTGAAGGCTGGCATTTATACTGAAGTACCTTTGGAGTTTAAAGTTGTCCCTTTATCTTCCTCTCCCACAGTCCTTCTTAGAAAAAAACAAACAAAATTGTGGGGAGAATAGGGATGGGCAGAAAAAGCTAGCCAACTGAATCAGTATTCGCACAAACTCTTGTGGAGGAAATGTGAAAAAGGAGCACACAGTCTTCATGAAACCCTCCTCTGGGATATTTCTAATTAGATTACCAAGAACAGGGAGGTCCTCATGTGCTTAAACAGTGAAATTATTGTTTAAGACAGACCAGCTTCCTTTCTTGCCCCATGCTAATATATAAGTTTCATCAGAACTGTACCCAGCTAAGGGGGAAAAAAGCTGTTTACTCATGCCATGCCATGTGGAGGAAACATCAAATAGAGACAAAGTCAAAATAATATCCATGGTATCTGAAGTTTAAAATATTTTATTAATAAAAAAGTACAATAATCAAACAGAAGATTGCTTAGTACCCAAGCACACACCCTTCCTGGATGCCACAGAGGGAGAGTCTCATTAGGTTAGAACAGAGTAACCTCTAAAGTGGCCATGCTAACTGAGGAAACTTTTGAGTATTTCCAGGTGCACAACAGACTTGTATATAACAGATTGTTCATTATCCTAGCCTCAAAGCCATATCTCTGGAGCAAGAACTAGTATAAAATAGAGAAAAAATGTGGTGCTTCTCTAAAGCACTGAAATAATGAGGCACAAACATAAGAGTTATAGAGACTAAAGCTTATATACTGTTTTGTAATTTCTTTAAACAAACTAACAATGACAAAAAAAATTCAGTCAGTCCCTTCACTGTGGGCTCCTTTCCCCAACACACACACACCAAAAGTTTCTGGGGACTGCTCTCTTGCTGTAACCTCCTGCTAAAAAGCAGGGATGGACAATACTAGGGATTCTCTTCTTTTATTCAGAAATACAATAAAAACAGCACTGCATACAACATAGTTAAAAAGTAATGTCCCCCACAACTACTGACCCTAGGAAACATCTAATGGAAGAGAAAGAGAGCTTCTTAACAATTAACAAAATAATATCTCTCTCCCTGCCCTCAATCCACCATCAGAAAAGGAAATGGAAGGCGAAACCAGAGTTTGATAATCAAAGAAATATCCTGCCACTGGTATAAATTATAACCTCTCCCATCCTACTCCTACTGCAACCATCCTACCCCACTTCCCTCCTACCTATACTGCTCAGGGTACAGTGAGGAAAAAGAAAAATGTAAATGTCTGAAGGGCTCTGAGAAACTGCCTTTGTGCTTCTGACAGGGTGACATGTAATATGGTCCAGGCAGAGCAAGGAAAGGAGAAGAATGCAGTTTTTGAAGCAATAGATTTTGCCTACCTATCCCTGTAGGCCCTAATATACTTTGAGTCTGGAAACAGATGAGAGTCCTATAGTTAGTAACAGATAATGTAGGAAAAGTAAGAGTAGGAGAAGAAATAATATTGCTTCCACTGACCACTCTTCAATTATCCTTTTTACTGACTCAAATTTAGCTCTGTATCACCCAGAAAGCCAAATCCTCTCCCTTTTCTAGGGTAAATATAGGATACTATAATTATCATCATAGTGATGATCATAATACTTTTTTATTCATTTAAAGATCTCCCATCATTGTTGCCAACATCCAATAAGAATCCTCACAACATTCCTGTGAGGTAGATATTTGATCCCCATTTTACAGATGGGTTAACTGAGGCACAGAGAGGTGATGTGACTTGCCTAAGGTCAACCAAGTGAGAGATGGGAAAATATGAAAGAGAGGTAACTTAGGATAGCACCCTTAATGTCAGACAGCCAGATTTCCCAGTGAGAAAGGATCATGCTACATTTTACTTTAAATTGGGCACATCCACTTTCTTCTGTGTCCATCTCTGTGTGTAGATATTAGCACACTATGGGAGATCAATAATTTCCCTAGGCTTATTCAAAATTAGCTCAATTCCCAATGGCTTGGTTCTTGAGGAAACATTTTGGGGACAGAATAGATGCCTAAATTCCTTTAACCAAGATCATAGAAATCCCTAATTCCTAAATTTTGCAGATCACTTAGTTTCAAAGAGCTGTTGGAGTTTTTTAAAATGTTACTATCATACACCTAAGCATTATGTTCTAGTTGTTATCCACAGTGTGCAGATTAACAATTCAGATACTGCTATACATTTATACTAGAATTGCACAATTTAGGTAAACAGATGTCAGAGTATGGGAGACAGGTTTCTTACTGTTTAAGTGGGAGGTTACAGAAAAGCAAAGGAAAAGGCTAGAATAATACATTTGGTGATGGATTAGTGTTGGCGACATCAGTATGAACTCACATTTAGCTTAATAAAGATATGGAAGATTGCATATAGAAATATTTGTAGATATGTGTACATATACATGAGTTAGTGTACATATACATTTTTTTCTTGCTTTGTCAGCTGAGGTGGCCTAGAAGTAACAATACCCCAGTAGCCATAAGCATACTTAATGCCTAGATCTTGGTTTCTAGAACTATTCTCCACTAAAAGGAATCAGGGCTCCTAAAAGAAATGGCTGATTATAGGAGTGGGCCAAGAAATATACAAGATGACCCTGGAGCATCTTGTTGTGCCAGCAAATAAGTATATGCTAATATATATATATATATATATATATATATATATATATATATATATATATATATATATATGATGGGGGTATGTCAAAGGTCTTGGGAGTCAACCCAAAAAAAGCATCAAATGGCCAAAGCTAGAACAATTTGAGCATACAAAATAAAGTTTTATTGAATTATAACCCAAAGTATAAAGTAAATCTGAGTCCATACTGATACAAGTAAATGATTGCATAAATAAATATAGGGAGAAGAGTCAAATCTCCCCTGCAGAATTCCAAATAATCTTTTGTAGATTCTAACACTCAAAGATGTGGTGTACAGCTCTCCATTCCTAAGTGTAGCTGCATATAATGACATCCTTCCAAAGAATACAATGGAATATGAGGGAGAGAGTACAGAAGAGAAAGCTGACAAACACTATCTCAGCCAGGTGATCAAGGTTAACATCAAGGATTAAGTCATGTTAATACGATGAGATGAAAATAGCAGTTTACCTCTATGGTCTTCCTCCTTAAAACCCATAACTTCAGTTTAATCATGAGAAAAATATAAGACAAATTTTAATTGAGGGACATACTCCTCAAAACTGTCAAGGTCATAAGAAAAAAAAGAAAATCTGAGAAACTGCCACAATCAAGAGGAGCCCAAGAAGATAAGACTACTAAATATGATGTGTGGTATCTTGAATGGGATGCTGGAACAACAATGACAACAAATAAGATATTAGGTAAAAATTAAGAAAATGTGAATAAAGTTAGAACTTTTAATTAATAATGTATCAATATTATGTCATTAATTATAATAAATGTGCCATACTAATGAAATATGTTAATAATAGGAAAAACTGGATGTGTAGAGTATAGGGAAACTCTCTGTAGAATCTTCACAATTTTCCTGTAAATCTACAACTGTTCTAAAATAAACATTTTATTTAAAATGAAGTTACCCTCACAAACCTTTCTGTCTTACCCAATATTCATTCCACCTAATTTAACCAACCCATTCACGTTCTTCAGTTTTTCCTGAATTTTCCTATTATAATCATCAATAGTTATATTCAACTGACAATTATCTATAGATAGAGGGACTCCACTACAACAAATCCCAGGATATTATCCAACCCCATTGAACAAGGCTACTAAAGAGCTACAGTTCCTTTTCATCTCACTGTCTATTTAACAAAATTCTATGTGCTTTTGGTGCAGTACTGTATTGTACTATATTTAACCCCCTGAATGGTATGAAGTACTCCTAATAAATGTTGACACATTTGTTAAAGAATATGTAATGATTAAAATGATTTTATTATTTGAAGGGGACAATTAATAAAGTAGTAACAAAGTCCCTCATTACTTTGCAGGAAAAAAATTGAATAAAGGCTTAGGAGTGTCAAGGATACCAATACTGGAATTCTAATCCGATCATCCTGGTTAGTACAATAGTATGTTTGATAGCCTTTATTTATTAATAGATTATATGTTCCAATGCAAAAGGACCTGAGGTCTAAGGGGCAGAAGACAGTTATGGACTCTGAAAAAAGGAGTCTCAGAATCCAAACTCTGGAGAAAATGGGCAGGTCCTTGGACTCTACTGTGAAATACCATATCAACTACTCAATTATAAGCTTAAGCCAATATGTATGATGGTAGTCCAGCTTTAACAATCTATGTCAGATCTACATAAAAGTTCTCTTTCAGTCTACAATGTGGAACTTACACACCAAAAGTCAGAAGAAAGTCTATATCAAAAAAAACAATGAGAAGAGTAAAATTCCACATATCATTTTGAATAATACAGGCAGGTCTTGAATTTATAAAGGTTTATGATCTGGACATTGTATATTTAAATGAGGTAAATCAATTCTGAAATATTACAGAAAGCATTAGAAGAGAAAAATCTTGTACCTAATGTTATATATCCATGACCACAGGCACACTTTACTTATTATTTAATCAACTGAGTAGTCTAAAGTTTTCTGGAACACAACATATAGAATTGGACAAATACTGCAACCAATCATGTAAAGTTTTCTTTAATTCGGTTTAATAATGTGATCCCTGGGAGAATGGGTGCACAGGTCTATAAGGCCTCAAGGAAACATCTGGGAAAAGAATCTGACCCGTATTTGTCTCATCTGTAAAATATGAATGATGGGTAGGACTAGATGGTTAATAGGATCCCTTACTGGTGCTAGAATTCTATGATTTATTCAGAATGGATAAACCTTGGGAGGTAGTAACCTAAAATATTTAAGCAGGGACTGGTTGAATATCTGCCAAGGAAAAGGGGTTCCATATGAATACAACCTTTAGGAGAGAGGCTGAGTCCAAAGTTAAGTGATGCAAACTTCCTCTCCCCGCAGAGAGGAAATATGACATGTGGAGGTAGATCTGAGGTCCAGAGCCTAGAACACAGGGTTTTATATCTCAGAGACTATTATGAAACAGTCAGATCTGGTAACCAAATGTGTATATTATGCAACATGCTGTAAAGGCTAAAAGAAATGGCATAGGTGCTCTCACAGCAGTTGCAGAACATCCTATTGCTTTCTGTATTTCAGTTATCACTAAAAGCCTCTTATTCCAATTGAAACACAGGAATGCATGCTAATAATGCCATGGAATGAACAAATATTTTTCTTACAACCCCTTACCTTTCTATAACATGGCCCCAGTGTATGATTTTTCATCATGCATTATACTCATAATAGTTGCTTTATGTAAACAAAATAATAGACAGTACAGTGCAGCCCTCAAGACACTGTCTCAACAGGCTGCCATTTTAATGAGGTTTATGATTACAGCACTTTTAGTATCATATCCAAGTGGAAGTTCCCCTCTATTTGATTTCAAGATTATCTTGGTTCTGATTCTTCCTGTCATGGTCCAACATACTCTCCTGAAACACTTTTCACCCTACTGGCATGTCAATGTGTGCTTTGAATAGTTGTCCTAACTAATATTTAACCTAACAAAGAATGTGATTGTGCTGTAAAATTTTTAATCTTGAATGAGGAAAAGAAGAAAGAAGGTGAAGGAGATGGACAAGAAGATCCCTTCATTTCCTTTGATGGACCTAAGAAGCAGAAGTGCCCGCACTGTGTGAAAACCAAACTGTAAGAACAATTAGGATTGGATTTACAAAACCTTTGAGTTTTGTACAGACTCAGTTTATTCACTGAGAATGTGTCCTATGCTCAGGACCCAAATCCCTTCTACCAACAAACTATACTGTTATGCCCGCTTCTGTCTAGGAACTTGAAAATAAGTCATTTTAAAACACTACCAACCACTTTTAAGTACTGATTCAAAAAATATGGATAAGAATTCTAGGGGAAAAAAAAGAAAAAAAGCAGCATATGTTTGTTCACAGCCTTGAGTTGGATTCCTGTTTTGTTATTGTAGGAAAAATGTCCCATCTCTGACCAGGGGGGCCACACTTTTTATTCAACCTATGCTGAGGAGAGGTGAAGATGGAATATGAGGAGCCACCATGGGAAATCAGATATCTTTTCCTCCAGTCTCATCAACCTGGCTCAGTGAGCTGCTCCAACCCATCCCAGAGGCAAGCTGAAGTCAAAGAAGAAAAGATGGTCATGACCTCAGCACATACACAGGAATGAGACCATTGCAGCTCTTCTAGTGAGGACTGTGGAGCTCACATGGTGTCATGGCGCCGGCGATGCAGGGACAGGTGGTCAGAGCGAGAAAAGCTACGGTTGCAGTCTGTGCACCGGAAAGGCTTGATGCCTGTGTGCTTGCGGAAATGGCGGGTAAGCTCATCTGAGCGAGCAAATTTCCAGGAGCAGCCATCCCAGGTGCATTTATAAGGCTTCTCTCCTAAAAAGGGAGGATGAAAAACAAGTGGCGTCAGAGAAGACATGTTTGGATACTGAAAAAAATAACAGAGTACATAACCTTTTATCAAGGCTTTGGTCAAAAGGTGAGATAATCACTTTAAAGACATGCTCTCCTTCACCTTTACAGAAGTGCTGAAAAGAAGCTAAGACGGTAGAGTGGAAAACACATAGGCACTGGCTCAAACAGGCCTTTGCTTGAATCCTGGCTCTACTACATACTATCTGTATGACCTTAAATAATTAACTTCTATCTAGCTGGGTCTCTGTTTAATCACCTCTAAAGGTGTATAAAATATTTCACAGTGTTGTTTGACACATTTTCTTTTCTGATCACAGCTAGTAAATGATGAACCTGGGATCTAAAGCGAGGTCTTTGACACTTTACCCTGTACCACACTGTAGCAACCACATCCTCTCCTCTAATACTTCCCAACAAATAGTCTAACATAGAGACCTACAGAGAGAAAGAATATGTGATTCATTAAACTGAGCCCTCAGCTCAGTCTAGAGGCCTTCTTCTGTGTAAGGTCAGACATTAAATGGCACAGAATGGGATGAGGAGAAGCATCAAGTCAAACTTTTAAAAATAGTCCATGCTCAGTATCTGCAGGTTGCATCTGGGTTATATATGGAATATGTATGCTGTGGATAAAAAGCTAAAAGAAAAAACTATAACATATATTAACACAAGATGATCCCATTAGGGTGTATAGATCACACAGCACATATTTAAATACTCAGAATAAAGGCAATATCAATATACTTAAATTAAATTATGAGAGAAATTATTAACAGTTAGTAAATATCTGGAAAGTGGGGTTGAAAATTATGAGAAGAGGACTTTCTCTTTTTACTTTTCACTTTTCTGTATCATTTGAATGTTTTAAAAATCATGATATTGTATCCTATAATAAAATTTGTATTTCTTTTGTTTTCAATCTATTTTAATTATAGTTAACATACAACACTGTATTAATTTCATGAGTACAACACAATAATTAGACATTTATATACCTTATGAAGTGATCAGCATGATAAGTCCAGTTACCAGCTGAACCCATACATAGCTATTTATATTATTCACTATATTCCTTATGCTGGACATTATATCCCCATGACATATTATTTTTTTGATCTCTGAACTTTTTTTTAAATTAATTAATTTATTTTTGTTACAGATGTTTCTCCTTTTCCCCCCACTGATTCCCCCCCTCCCTCCCCGCCCTCTCCCCAGCTTTGTTGTCCATGTCCCTTGTTCATGCATACATGCATATAAGTTCTGTGGTTTATCTCCCCCCACCCCCTCTTCTGGGGATAGTCAGTCTGTACCCCACTTCCACGTCTCTGGGCCTACCCCATTCCTCAGACTGTTATGTTTATTATATTCCACAAATAAGTGTTCTCTGAACTTTTTATTGGCCTCCTGCCTCACCAAGGGATACCCCACTTATGCTGTCTTTAATGCCTCAGAACTTTGGTGTCATTGACCTCAAACACCATTTTGCTGTCCACAATCCTATGAATGATGGTCTTTTGGATGGATTGTATAGAGTGGCTGTCAATAATATTATAATAACAATGTATGGTAGCATGTGGCTACTAAACTTTACATGGGGACCATTCATAAACTATATAAATGTCTAACCACTATGCTGTTCACCTGAAACTAATATAATATTGAATGTCAACTATAATTGACAAATAAAATTTAAAAAGGGAAAGGAGAATACAGTCAATAATATTGGGATAAGTTTGCACAGTGTGCAGTGTGATCACCTCATTAATTCTAGTAATCATGAATGAGAGAAGAGAATTATAATGGATGCTTCAGATATAAAATGTATCATAAGGGATAACTAAGAACAATTATATGCCCACAAACTAGATAACTTAGAAGATATGGATAAATTCCTAGAAACATACAACCTACCAAAACTGAATTTAAAAAAAAAAAAAAAAAAAAAAGGAAGCCTGAACAGACCAGCAACAAATAAGGAGACTAAATCAGTAATCAAAAATCTCTCAACAAAGAAAATCCCATGACCAGAAGGCTTCATGGGTGAATTCTACCAAGCATTTAAAGAAAAATTCATATTGTCCGGCCGGTGTGGCTCAGTGGTAGAGCGCTGACCCATGCACCAAAAGGTTGCTGGTTCGATTCCCAGTTAGAACACAAGCACAGGTTGTGGGCTCGATCCCCTTGGGGGGGCATGCAGGAGGCAGCCAACTGATGTTCTCTTTCATTGATGTTTCTATCTCTCTCTCTCTCTCTCTCTCCCTTCCTCTCTCTCTAAAATCAATAAAGAAAAAAAAGTAAAGAAGAATTCATATCAATTTTTTCTCTTTCTTTCTATCTTTATTGTTGAGAGTATTATAGATGCCCCCCTTTCCTCCCTTACCCCCCACCACCACCTAGTTCACGCCCCATCCCAGGCCTTCACCATCCTATTGTCTGGGTCCATGGGCAATGCATATATGCATATAAATTCTTTGGTTAATCTCTTCCTGCCCCAGATAAGCAAGAGCCAACTGCATATGCTCAGCTTCATTAATCATCAGGGAAATTCAAATTCAAATGCAAACCACAATGAGATATCACCTCACATCTGTTAGAATGGCTATTATTAGAAAGACAAAAATGAGACATGTTGGAGAAAATCTGGAGCAAAGGGAATCCTTGTAAACTATTGGTGGGAATGCAAATTGGTACAGCCACTATGAAAAACAGTATGAAGTTTCCTCAAAAAAATTAAACATAAAACTACCATATAATCTAGCAATCCCACATCTGGGTATATCCAAAAGAAATAAAATCAGTATCTCAAAGAAATATATGTATTCCCTCCCATGTTCATTACAGCATTATTCACAAAGCCAAAATATGGAAACAACCTAAGTGTCTGTTGATGGATGAATGCATATAAAGATGGGATATGTGTGTGTGTGTATAATGAAGTATTATTCAGCCTTAAAAAATAAGGAAATCTTGCCATTTGTAACAACATGGATGAACCTACAGAACATTATGCTAAGTGAAGTAACCAGATTCATAAAGACAAATACTGTGTGATCTCATGTAGTATGTAGAAAATAACAATGTCAAACACATTGAAACAGAATATAGAATGGTAGTTACCAGAAGCTGGAGCTGGGGTACATGGAGATGCTGGTAAGGGGGTACAGACAAAAAAAAGTCCTAGGGATCTATTTTTTTACAAGAAAAATAAGTTCTAGGGTTCTAATATAAAACAATGTTACTGTAGTTAATGATATTGTACCATAATACTTGAAATTTTCTGTAAGAGTGGAATCCAGGTGTTCTCACGCACAAAAAAAGGTAATTATGTGAGGTGATGGATATGTTAATTAGCTTGATTATGGTGACTATTTCACAATGTATACATACATCAAATCACTAACTTTTACATCTTAAATATATACAAATTTAATGGTCAACTATACATTTGAGGGGAAAGAATAAATTAAGACAAAAAGCTTAAGGAGATGGCAGTAAGACTGGAATTGTAAAAACATTAGTAATAGCTAACATTTAGTGAGTATTTACTATATGCCAGATATTATACTAAGTGTTTTTTGTTTTGTTTTTTTGCACCATTAATATTCCCACATAAGGAAACTGAGGGAAAAAAATGTGAAGTATCTTTTAGATAATGAGGGGAAGAATGTGATGTCAAATCCAGACAGTGTAGTTTCACAATATATGTTCCTGGCAATTATGTCTACATCCTTAATAAAAGAGCCATTTAAAGAAAGAATTAATAGAACTTTAGAAACAAATATTAAGGGCATAAGAGAATGTTAATAATCAATTATAAATTTTGAGTGTGTGTGAATGAGTGATGCCATTATTAAAAACTGGTGTTTGAGAGTATGTTTAAGAGCAATTGTTGTATCTGTATTTTCTGCTTCATATGATTGTCTGCTCAGAGGATATGAACAGTTTCACTGCATGCTAGAAGAAAGATCCAGATAGACAAGAGCCTCATGAATCTCTGCTGAGAGAATATCTACCAAAGACAGGATAGATATCATTGTTTGGGACCCCTTGAAATAAATCCCAATCTTTGGAGGGCAGTGAAGCAGGCAGATCTGCAGCTACCTGAGTTCCAAAGAACCTGTGGAGTACCAGCAATAGAGAAAAGTATATCTAGGCTGCATACCAAGTGTGATTCCAGGGTGCTTTCCCCACTTACTAAATGTATGATCATTGGCAAATGCTCTATCTCTGTAAGTAGAACCTCCAAAACAAAAATATGAGAGTTATTAATGTCCCCTCAATCATTAGTACACTTCCTTCTCTCTACATCCACTATCAACATCTTAGCTAGTTTCTCATAATTTTTTGCGCAGCCTCTTAAGTGATCTTACTCCTTTCCGTCTTGCACTTCAAACTTCCACCACCAACCACAGCATTTAATACGTCCAAGCAGTGCTGGACCTCTGTTAGTTATTAGAACAAGACAAGCTTATTCCTATCTCCCAGCTTTTGTACTCTGTCTAGAAAGAACAACACTTTCCTTAACCTTTTGGCATAGTTGGATCCTCATATTAACTATGTTGCTTAATGTAAGAGCCTTGTTTAGGTACTGATTTAAGCATTTATTAGACAATTGGGGAAATTTGATGATAAGGAATTTTTAGGTTCCTTTCTTTGAGTACTTTAAATATCTCCTGCCATTCCCTTCATGCTTATTTTAAATGCCTGTGCCTTTTAAAGATACATTTTTAAGTATTTATGACAAAGTTAATACGATGTCTGAAATTTGCTTCAAAATAATTGTGTGTAATGGGGGAGTTGGTAGGGGTGAAAAATAAACAAAATTGGCCAAATAGTGAAATAATTATTGAAGTTAGGTGAGGGATACATGAGATTCCAGTAAACTATTCTACCTTTGCATGTTGAAGTATATATTTAAACCTGAATATCTATCTATCTATCTATCTATCTATCTATCTATCTATCTATCTATCTATCTATCTATCTAATGTCTGGATCACTACAGTAGCCTCTTAAATGGTCTTCTCCTTTCCACTCTTGCACCTCAATGTTTCTACCACCAATCACTGTACATTTCTGTCAGTTATTAGAATAAGGTAAGCTTATTCCAATCTCACATCTTCAACTATATACATATATAGTCAGTAGAATAAGACTCCATCCAATAATTGAACATCAATAAATAAGAAGAGGGTCATGGGAATGTTGAGACAATGCAGCCTGGAAATCAGTAACCTGTTCATAACCTCAGGGCACTGCAACTAGGACTCTGGATCCTTTTAAACAAATCCTAACGTGATAAATGTAACACAGTATTCTGTTGCCAAGAAAAGAGGGTCCCTTTCTTATCCAGGATGTCTAAGTCTCAATTCTGAGCTGGAGATGACTTGGGTGGAGGAGTTTTCAAGGCAGAGGGTATAACTTATGACTAGCAAGCTATCTCTGGCAAATAGGCAGGTTTGTTTGAATGTATGGTGTTATATAAAATATTTGGTTAGATGCCAACATTCAAAATCTAGGACATTTCACATAAAAGTCTTGATTTTTCTGCTTTTCTTTAAAATTTAGGAAATTTGGTAATTTTTTTATTACTTTAAAATTTAACACTTTCATGTAATCAGATACACCATAATCAAAGTGAAAACCAATACCACCAACAAAACAAGCTGCCGACTTATCTGCAATGCATACAAGTGAGAGAGGATTAGTATCTAGTAAATATAAAAATTCCTCCAAATCAATGTTTTTTATTTTTTGTTTAATTTAATTTATTTATTTTTGTTACGGACGTTTCTCCTTTTTCCCCCATTGACACTCTCCTCCCATTCCCACCACCCTCTAGCATTGTTGTCTGTGTCCACTAGTTATGCTTATATGCATAAGTTTTTTGGCTTATCTTTTTCCTTCCAACCCCCCCCACCTCCCTCCTCTGAAGTTTGTCAGTCTCTATGTCTGTGGGTCTATTTTGTTCATCACCTTATTTTGTTCATTATATTCCACAAATAGGTGAGATCATGTGATACTTGTCTTTCTCTGATTGGCTTATTTCACTTAGCATAATACAAATCAATGTTTTTTAATTGCAGAAAGAACAACTGAATCTTTATTGAGTATATGTACTCATTCAAAGAAACAAATAAAACTGACAGTCTAATAAGTGTCTCTCATTGTTCCTGATAAAATAAATGTTATTAATACAGGTTTTACTCCTGCCTCCATGGTTCAAAGTATTTTCTCTGAATGTTTGGTAAAACTTGCCTGTACTAGATTTAACAAATATATTTGGCAATGTAGCAGGATACAAAATTAATATCTGAAAACTGATGCCATTTTTATACACCAATAATGAATGCTCAGAAAGAGAAACTAAAAATAACAATCTCATTTATCACTGCAACGACAATAACAAAAAATAATATAACTAGGGATAAACTTAAAGAAGGTAAAAGACCTGTACTCAGAAAACTACAGGACATTGAAAAAAGAAATAAAGAAAGATCTACAAAAGTGGAAGCATATACCATGTTCATGTATTGGAAGAATTAACATCATTACAATGTCCATACTACCCAAAGCACTCTATAGATTCAATGTGATTCCCATATAAAATACCATTGGCATTTTTCACAGATCTGGAATAAATATTCCAAAAGTTTATACGGAACAAAAAATGACCCTGAATAGCGGCAGCAATCTTGAGAAAGAAGAGCAAAGTAGGAGGGATCACAATACCTGATATCAAACTGTATTACAAAGCCACTGTAATCAAAACAGCCTAGTACTGGCACAAGAACAGGCATATAGGTCAATGGAACAGAACAGAGAACCCAGAAATCAACCCACAACATTATGGTCAATTAATATTTGACAAAGGAGGCAAGAGTATACAAAGGAGTAAAGACAGTCTCTTTAATAGATGACATTGAAAAATTAGACAGGTACATGCAAAAAAATGAAACTAAACCACCAATTTACACCATACACAAGAATAAACTCAAAATGGATAAAAGATTTAAATGTAAGTTGCAAAACATAAAAATCCTAGAAGAAAACATAGGCAGTGAAATCTCAGACATCTCACATAGCAAAATTTTCACCAACACATCTCCAAGGGCAAGAGAAACAAAGGAAAAAATAAACAAACAGGACTACATCAAACTAAAAAGCTTCTGTACAGCAAAAGAAACCATCCTGAAAATGCAAAGGGAACCCACTGTATGGAAGAACATATTCACCAATGATACATGTGATGAGTTAATTTCCAAAATATATAAAGTACTCATCCAACTCAATAAGAGAAAGACAATCCAATTAAAAATGGGTGAAATACCTGACCAGACAGTTCTCCAAAGAGGACATACAGATGGCTAAGAAAATATTTTAAAAATGCTCAACGTCACTAATCATCAGAGAGATGCACATTAAAATGACAATGAGATCGCTTACCTCACACCTGCCAGAATGGCTGCCATCAATAAATCATCAAACATCATCAAAAAATCATCAAAATCATAAAAAATCATCAAAAAGGTGTGGTGAGGATGTGGAGAAAAGGTACTCTAGTACACTGCTGGTGGGCATGCAGACTGGTGCAGCTACTGTGGAAAACAATATGGAGTTTCCTCAAAAAATTTACAATGCAGCTGCCTTTTGACCCAGTGATCCCACTTCTGAGACTATATCCTAAGAAAAGCCAAACACCAATCAGAAACAACTTATGCACCCCTATGTTCATAGAAGCACTATTTACAACAGCTAAGATCTGGAAACAGTGCAAGTGCCCATCAGTAGATGAGTGGATAAAAAAGCTGTGGGACATTTACACAATGGAGTACTATGCAGCTGTAAGAAAGAAAGATCATTTATCCTTTGAGACAATATGAATAGACCTGGAGATTATTACACTAAGTGAAATAAGCCAGTCAGAGAAAGATAGATAAATATCACATGATCTCACTTACATGTGGAATCGAATGAACAAAATTAACTGACAAACAATATAGGACCACAGTCATAGAGGTGTGTAACAGACTGACAGATCTGAGAAGAAATTAATCAAAGAACATACACGCATATATGAATAACCCTTGGGCACAGACAATAGTGAGGTGAAGGTCTGGGGTGGGGCAGGAACCGGGTGTAAGGGGTAAAGGGGGGAAATGGGGAACATCTGTAATACTCTCAACAATAAAAAATAAAACACTGGGAGATTGAAAGTGAAAAAAAAATTTTCTCTGTAGTTAGAAAACTAAAGGTAGACAAATTTTATCTCTAAGCAATATTTTGCTTTGGCACCTAGAAAATGGAGTAATTCTTACTTGTAATTAAGTGACAGTTCTCTTCCTGATGGGACAGGTTCCCCCCACCCCCAGTTTGACACAATCCCCACCAGCTCTGCTTTACTTATTTTTCTAATGTGTACCTTTCTCTAATGTGAATAAATGCATGTTATAGGTTGGTGGATGGTGCTGAGCTCCAAATGCTTGCTTTATTTTCAGTTAGTTTAAACTGCCTTTGAGCTTTTCAATACTCATAAAACTTGTGGGGCTCTGGTGACAAGGGAAGTAGTGATGACGTAGCTGCCTTAATTTTTACATAAGTGTTATGACTTCCCAATTAGAAAGATCCACAGGTGATCAATGGGGATGATGACCATTTAGAAGACACCAGGCTTAGTATATTCATAGGCTGGTTTTATAAAAGCTACCTTAGTGTTGGAATAAGGCATAGGCATAAAAGCCACAAATGGAGCCCATGCCCATGAGTAAAAATGGATCAGTCTTTGTTTGAACACTTTCTTCTCTTCCTATCTCTCATAGACTCTGTGTGTGTGTGTGTGTGTGTGTGTGTGTGTGTGTGTGTGTGTGTGTGTGTGTTTGTGTTGAGGGTGGGGTGGAGGTGGGCAGACCTGTATGGATTCTGCGATGGGCTTTCAGGTGAGAGCTTTTGGTGTATACTTTGCTGCATCCTGCAAAGTCACATTGGTGAATCCGTCTTCTCTTCAAGTCAAGGGACTCTTCTCCCTGCATTTGGGTCATCGCTGCTGGTCTGAGGGAAAAAAAAGAAAGAAAAATAGGGCCAAAGAATGATTTTAAAATAGAGGCTAAATAAATGGACATACATACAGTAGGACCACTTCATACATGCATTTAACTTATACACGTTTAACACTATACCCTTAAAAGAAGAAATTATTAACATAGTAAAAGCAAGTCCCTCAACTAGCCCATTCTGCTCAATAAGTGCAGGTTCCAGAAGGTGGCAATGTTTCCTTGTGTGGTTTCTGTTCCCAGAGAGTATGAGCATTTCACTCTAATAAGTCTCATTCTTGTGTTTAAAGAAATATATTTTCATATAACATGGCTGCTAAAACACAAGCCAACTACTTTATTAGTTCCAACACTGGAAGAAAAGGCTTCTTTAAACTTACAGAAAGAAACACTAAGCAACTGTACTTTATAGGAAATTTGAAGATTTTTCAAGGATAAAATTGATGATCTACAGTTAGACCATAACTCTGCCATAATATGTATGTCTATGCACATGTAAGCACACAAACTCATACCTTTGCTGGGAAGGCAGTTTTCCTACATTTTGTTGTCCCCGAATTATTACTATTGTGTCTGAGAACTTGTTCCATTTCTACCACAGACACATACACATACATACAGAAAGGGACCTGAGGTAAAGACAAAAATACTCACTCTTGTTGTAGTCCCTGTAAGGCCAAGGATCCACTCTCATTTGCACTTTCCTCACTGTCACTTGGGATTTCCAGTGGAGACATGGAGGTGGGGTCAACTTTCACTAAAATCAAAGAAAAGGAGCAGTGTGGACTACAAATATATGTGCTTTGTTATCATTTTCAGGATTCCTAGTTTGGCCCACAATGATAAGCAGCAGAAAGAGAAATAAAGAAAAGGCAAAAATGAAAAATGGAAGGCGTGTAGTTGTTAGAAGAGAAGATTTAAAATATTTAGCATACCCAGAAACAGAAATTCATTTGAGGGGAAGATAGTAAGGAACATTCTTGTACCACTAGAATAAGCTTCTGTAGGACAGTGAATGATATAGGATAGTAAGATTCAACTCTATCTCCAGCCCCCAGGTCAGGATCTTAAAAGTCAGGTTCAATGTTTGTTGAATCAAACTCTCCAAACAGTTCCCTGACTATCCTAAGATAGATGCCTAGTCTCAGCCCAGAGGTGATAACACATCCTTTGGCTTTTGTGCTCCTAAATGAAAACAAGCCAATGAGATGAAACACATACCTGGTACCCAATAGGTGTTTGATACACGTTATATCTTTCCCTTTCCCTATGTTGGAAGAAGCCCTCAAATATTTATTATTATCAATTACTTGTGTTTCTGACACCTAACAAAACTCAATCCTGTGGTAAGCAGTCTTTTAGATCTAGTAAAAGCTTCAAAACTTCTATCCAGAAGAAACTTAAGGGTGGTGATGTGGTTGAATGGGGAAGGACCTGGCTAGTGCAGTCATCTCCATACATTGATTATGCATCATTCATGACCCTGGCCAGGTAGCTCAGTTGGTTGGAGCATTGTCCCATATACCAAAAGGTTGCAGGTTTGATTCCCAGTCAAGGCACATACCTAGGTTGTGGGTTTGATCCCTGGTCGGGGGAGTGTACAGGGGGCAACAGATAGATGTCTCTCTCTCACATCAATGTTTCTCTCTCCCTTCCCCTCTCTAAAATCAATAAACATATCCTTGGGTGAGGATTAAAAAATGTTTTAAACATGCATCTTAATATGTATGTGTCTGTCTGCCTGTGGGCGTGTATGATATAAATGTACTAGAATATTGAAATTGTGTGTACATTATTAAAACAAAAAATTAACATGTAAGGGGTGAGAAAATACAAATAGAAATTTTGGTAATTTCTCCTTGTGTTCCAATTTTTTTGTGCACCTCCTTCTACCATTTTGGAGACCACTGGGCTAATGGTCTTAGCTTACCTTGAAACTACATAAAACATTTTTTAAATGTATTATTTATCTAGAATGGCTCCAGTGGACTGATGGATATTATGGTGGAAATCAAAGCCCTTTCAAACTATGCCTAGGTGCTACCACTGTTTTGATATCAGTAAATTCTCACACAAGGAATTTTATTTTTCCATTTTGTTTTTTGTTGGTCTCTCTCCCTATATAAGAATTGATAGCCATATATATATATTTTTTATCCTCACCTCGGGACATTTTTGCATTTATCTTCAGATAGAGCGGGAGGGAGAATGGGAGGAAGAGAGAGAGAGAGAGAGAGAGACCGACATGAGAGAGACACATCGAGTAGTTGCCACCCACAAGACCCCAACCGGGGGCGGGGACAAACTGCAACTGAGGTACATGCCCTTAGCGGGAACTGAACCTGGGACTATCTGGTCTGTGGGCCAATGCTCTAACCGCTGAGCAAACTGGCCAGGGCTTGATAGCCATATTTTAATTAACTCCCTCAGGAGATCTCAAAAACAAGATAGTTATGAATACTTACCATTACCAAAATTAAGTAGTCAATGATGGCATTTTTATTCAAAAGTACACTGCAGAGTCTCAGCAACTTAATACTTAGTATGTTGTTTTTCAGTATCCTACATTTAGTGATAGAACAATCAAAAGGCACTGGATTTCAAAGGTTGAGAACTCTTAGAAAGTTCTTTTTAAATTAAGATTTTAGGCCTCTTTTTTTAAAAAACTATGTTTTTACTGAGATTTAGATAGAGAAGAAGGGAGAGAGAAAGAAAAACATTGAGAGAGAAACATCAGTTGGCTGCTTCCTGTACGCCCCCTACCAGGGATTAAGCCCACAACCCAGGCATGTGTCCTGACTGGGAATCGAACCAGTGATCTTTTGGTGCATAAGATGATGCTCAATCCACTGAACCACACCAGCCAGGCATAAAGTTTATATATTATATATGTGTATATATATATATATATATATATATATATATACACACACACACACACACACACACACATATATATATATATGTGTGTGTGTATATATATATACTGAGCTAAAATCTGGTTCCTAGTCATTTCCACCTACATCTCTTCCCTTTGGTCTTTTTAATTCATACTAAACATTTATCAACTCTTCATTTGACATGGAATTGATCCTTGCATCATCCTAATCTCTCTCCTCTACTTATACTCCAATTTCCCAACATCCTTCCTAAGGCCTAACATCCAAAACTGATTGGAATGCTATAGATGTGATGAAGCTAAATATCTTGAAACATTTCAAGAAGCCATGTACTTTTCTTTGAACATTCTCAATTACAAACTAAAGTGGATATACTTCCAGGTAGGGAACTGGGTAGTTGGTGGACAGTGGTGAAAGGGAGACTTACTTTATACCTTTTTGAATTCTGAACTTATTTTAAAAATTAAACAAAAGAAAACATTACAGCACGTAAACTCTTTCCTAGAAAAATTTTCAAGTTTGTTCATCAAATTATTTGTTTCAAGACAACTATCTACCACCGTGTTAGGTTCTCTGGAGATGCACAAAGGGAAATAAGATACAGTCTTGTCTTTCAGAAATTTATAATTCAGTTAGGAAGAATGCCCATATACTTATGACATAGGTGAGTGAAAAACTAAAATGGAGAGTGATAGATGCTAAATGAGGAGGAACACAGGGAAAATGGCAATATTTCAAAGAAGACTTTTACCTGCAGAAAAGAAAAAAAGTACAGTGTTAGGAAAGGCAAGAGCTAAGTTTGGCTAAATATGTAGGGCTAGAAACATTCTCAACGTGTCCGCCAAAGCACTCCTAATGGCATAGACAAATAAAAACACTCTCCTGGAAAATCCTATGCCTCAGTAAGCTTTAAACTATTTGGGGGGTTTGTGTTTTATCTTAAAATGTTATTCAAATATTACATTTTTCTCTTTAATAAAATCATATATTTAAAATATAAAACATTTTAAATTAATTACTCTCAAATAATATATAGGTTCCAGGAAGATACATAGTATTTCACTCAAGGATATGCATACCTCAGTTTGAGAAGCATGGGCTAAACAAAAGAGAGTAACTGTACATTATTAAGCCTTGAAAAGACATGACAAAAACAGCATGTATGAAAGATTATGCTTGAGGCTGTGTGCAAGGAAAATTGGTGGGGGTCAAAAGAGATAGGAGGCAGGACAACTCAAAAAGAGAATAGATGACAATGGCTAAGATCTGGAAACAGCACAAGTGTCCATCAGTAGATGAGTGGATAAAAAGCTGTGGAACATTTACACAATGGAATACCACTTGGTCATAAAAAAGAAGGATCTCTTATTCTCTGAGACAGCATGGATGGACTTGGAGATGATTATGCTAAGTGAAATAAGCCAGTCAGAGAAAGGCAAATATCACATGATCTCACTCACATGTGGAATCTAATGAACAAAATAAACCGATGAACAAAATAGGTCCAGACACATGAACGCATGGAATAGACTGACAGATCTCAGAGAGGAAGGGGGGTAGCGGAGATAGAAAAGATTAAATAAAGAATATATGTACGTATATATGCATAGCCCAAGGACACAGACAATAGTGTGTTGAAGGCCTGGGGTGGGGCAGGAGCTACGTGGAAGTGGGAAAATGGGAGAAAATGGGGTGGGGGCATCTCTAATACTGTTAACAGTGAAAAAATAAAAGAGAGAATAGATGGATGGAAGTAAAGCCCAGGAAAGGGGCACAATGATGCTCACCTGATCCAGCATTTTTGCCATCTCCTCCAATGAGTGGAACTGTAATGGCTGCAGGATTCCCATCTGCAGGCAAAGTAGTATACACCATGGGCAGCGATTGTACCACTACTGGGATGGTCTTCAGGCCACCCATTTTATTTGGCAGACTGACTGAGGGGATGGTGTGAATCACATGCAAGATCTGCTGGCCACCAGTGCCCTGAGAGGAGGCCAGAATAGAGCCTGGAGTCAGAACGGTAGGGATGTTTGCTAAAGTGCCTGTGTCAGATGTCAAAGTGGATACTACAGGAGTCTGGGGAGCAGGTTGTGGCTTGGGAGGACGTACTGGAGCTTGCAACATGCTGGCAGGCTGGAGAGGAGCCTTGGGCTTGTGAAGGGAGAGGTCTACTGGTTCCACCTGGGGCAGGCTGAAATCATTAGCCAGAAGTTCTTCTGGGGGCTCAATCTTGATGTCATTAAACAGTGCTGGGTTCTCCATGGGGTTGGCATCCAGAAGTGGTAGAGATGTCATATTACCTCTGTCTGCTGTCTTTGGGGGATCTCTGATCTGAACAGAGCCAGTGACCTAAAATAAATTAATAAAAAATGAGAGATGCAAAACAGTCAGTGCTAGTGCCCTGAAGAAGAGATATGCGAGCAATGAAAGGAAGAAATATATTCTCTTCTCATGGACAGAATATATAAGGAGATGAAAGAAATGCGGCAGGAGTACACTAAAGAGAAAAAAAGGAAGGGAAACTTTACTGAGCATCAGTACTAGGCACTGTATCAGGCAATTGATACAAATTGTTTTATTTAATCTTTACAATAATTCTGCAAGACTTATTAAAGTCAACACTTTCTAAGTATCCACTATAAATACTATGCTAAGCCCAGTGAGGGCATACATGAATAAGATATAGCCAAAAAGTGCATACTAATATACTACCCATAATGATAGTGATGTGAGTAGTTTATAAGTCATACCATAATAAGTGATGCAGCAGACATATAAGCAAGGTGTTTTAGAAAAAAAAAATGGAATGATTTATTTTGTCTAGCATCAGGGAAGGCTTCAACACTTCATTTTATATGGCTCTTAGAGAATTGATAAACGTTTTATAGGCAGAGAAGGGGTAAGAAAATTTAAGTGAGAGATAATAAAGACCTGAACTCAGAATGATGAGGGTCAAGGAGAATCAGTGTCCTTTTCTTCTGGTTTCATTTTAAAAGGCATCAAGCCTGGCTGGTGTAGCTCAGTGGTTGAGCACTGACCCATGCACCAATAGGTCGCCAGTTCAATTCTCGGTCAGGGCACATGCCCAGGTTGTGGGCCAAATTCCCAGTGAGGGGCACACAGGAGGTGGCCAAATTGATGTTCTCTCTCATCAGTGTTTCTCCCTCTCTCTTCCTCTCCCTTCCTCTCTCTCTAAAGTCAATAAAGAAAAAAAATTTTAATAAAAAAATAAAAATAAATAAAAGGCACCAAGAAGCAACCATGTGTCATCTATGTAATTTAATCAGACTGTCACCTGCTTTCTCCCTCTGCTGTGCTATACCCTTGGTTTTTCTGACAATCCCCCATCTCAACTCAGGCCTTGTTTGGGGTCCAAATACTGCTTTAATCTGCTTCTCTAAGATATGACTCCATGATTTGTGCCACTGCTTCACATACTTCTAAAGTACTCCATCTCTCATAGGTGCACATACTCCATCCTGGTAAGGGAGCAGTAGAATCCTGTTGGTGGTGGGGAGGAGGGAGGATAGGGAAAGGAAGTTGTCAAAATGGCTCTGTTAAAAATTCCTTGTCTTCTGAATCAATTGTTAATTTTTGCTTTTGTTGTCTTTGCCCTGCGAGACATATCCAAAAATACTGCTAAGACCAATGCCAGAAAGTTTATTGTCTATGTTTTCTTATAGGACTTTTATGGGTTCAGGTTCTACATTTAAATCTTTGATCCATTTTGAGTATATTTTTGTATTTTATGTAAGAAAGTAGTCTAATTTCATTTTCTGCATGTATCTAGTTTTACCAACACCATTTGTTGAAGAGACTGTCTTTACCCCAAAGTATGTTCTTGCCTCCATTGTCAAATATTAATTGACCATATAGACTTGGGTTTATTTCTTGGCTCTCTATTCTGTTCCATTGATCTAAGTGTCTGTTTTTATGCCAGTTCCTTCCTGTTGTAATTATACCCTTACAGTATAATTTACTATCAGGTAGCATGATAACTCCAACATTGTTCTTCTTTCTCGAGAATTCTATGGTTATTCAGGTCTTTTGGGGGTCCATGTAAGTTTTAGGATTATGTGTTCTAGCTCTGTGAAAAATGCCATTGGTATTTTGATAGGGATTGCTTTGAATCTGTAGATTACATTAGGTAGTATGGACATTTTAACATTATTTTTTTCCAATCCTTAAGTATGTTATATTCTTCTATTTTTTGTGTCTTCTTTTCTAAAATTATCTTTATTGTTGATAGTATTACAGATGTCCCACTTTTTATTTGTATCTTCTTCAATTTCCTTCTTCAATGTCTTAAAGTTTTCTGAATATAGATCTTTTACTCCCTTGGTTAAATTTATCCCTAGGTATTTTATTCTTTGTTATATAATTATAATAGTGGTTGTTTTTTTTAATTTCTATTTTTGGTAGTTCAGTATTAGTGTATTAATATACAACCAATTCCTGAATATTAATTTTCTATCCTCCTATTTACTGATATTTATTTATACGTTATAATAATTTTTGGTGGAATCTTTATGGTTCTCTCTATATAGTATCATATTATCTGCAAATAATGACAGTTTTACTTCTTCCTTTCCAATTTGGATGCATTTTATTTCTTTTTCTTGTATGATTGCTGAGGCTAGGACTTCCACTACTATGCTCAACAAACGTGGTGAAAGTATCAATCTTTGACTTGTTCCTGATCTTAAGGAAAACTCAGTTTTTCATCATTGATTATGATGTTACCTGTGATTTTGTCATATATGGCCTTTATTATGTTAAGGTATGTTCTATTTCTTTTTTGCTGAGAGTTTTTATCATGAATAAATGCTGGATTCTGTCAAGTGCTTTTTCTGCACCTATTGATATGATTATATGATTTTTACTCTTCATTTTTTATGTGTTGTATCATGTTAATTGATTTGCAGGTATTAAATCAAACTTTCATTCAAGGAATAAACCTCCCTTAATCATAGTGGTTGATCTTTTTAATGTATTTGATTTTACTAATATTCTGTTGATGATTTTTACATCTATGTTCATCAAGGATATTGGCTGGTAATTTTCTTTTTTGTAGTGTCTTGGTCTGGTTTTCGGTATCAGGGTAATGTTGGCTTTGTAAAATAAGTTTGGGAGATGTATCTCCTCTTCAACTTTTTAAAATAGTTTGGGGAGGATTATTATTAATTCTTCTTTGAATGTTTGGTAGAATTAATCTGTGAAGCCATCTGGTCCAGGACCTTTTGTTCTTTTTGGGAGTTTACTATTGATTAAATCTCTTTATTAATTGTGTATTCAGATTTTCTGTTTTCTTGATTCATTCGTAGAAGACTGCATGTTTCTAGAAATTTATCCACTTCTTCCAGGTTGTCCAATTTGTTGGCATATTATTGTTTATAGTATTTTCTCATAATCTTTGTATTTTTGTGGTTTCAGTTGTCAGTTCTCCTCTTTCATTTCTGACTTTATTTGTGTCTTCTCTCTTTCTTACTGTGTCTGGCTAAAGGTTTATCAAATTGTTTACCTTTTGAAAGAACTAGCTCTAGGTTTTTTAGTCTCTATTTTATTTATTTCCACTCTGATCAGTATTATTACTACCTTCTACTCTTTACTTTGTTCTTCTTTTTCTAGTTCCTGTAGGTATAAGGTCAGATTGCTTGAGATATTTCTTTTGTCTAGAGGTAGGCCTGTATTGCTTTGAATTTCCCCCCTAATATTGCTTTCGTTATGTCCACAAATTTTGGGGGTGTTGTGCTTTCATTTCCATTTGTCCCAAGGTATGTTTTGATTTCTTTACCTCTGTGCTATCCCATTCATTGTTTAGTAGCATGTTTTTAGCCTCCATGTGTTGGTTATTCTTGTAATTGATTTCTAGTGTCATAACATTGTGATCAGAGAAGATGCATGATATGGTTTTCATTTTCTTACATTTGAGACATGTTTTGTAGTCTATACTGGAAGTTATTTTAGGTGCACTTCAAAAGAATGTGTCTACTGTTTTGTGATAAACTTTTTAAGGTTAGTATTTCCGTGTTGCCTTTCTAACTGGATGATGTATCCAGTGACACCAAGGGGAATGTTAAAGTCCTCTACTATTATTGCAATACTTTCATTCCCCCTCTTCATGTCTATCAATATATGCTTTAATATTTAGGTACTCCCACATCAGGTGCATAGATGATTACTAGAGTTATACCCTCTTGTAAGACTGATCCCTTTATCATTATGTAATGCTCTTATTATTTTAGCCTTTGTTTTAAAGTCTATTTTGTCTGATATAAGTATTGTTACCCTAGCTTCATTTTAATTTCCATTTGCATGAAATATAATTTTTGATCCCTTTCTTTTTTTAATCCTTATTGTTGAGTATTACAAATGCCCCTGCTTTTTTCTCCCATTGCCCCCCCTCCACCCAGTTCCTGCCCTGCCCTAGGCCTTCACCACCCTATTGGCTTTGTCCATGAACAATGCATATATGCATATAAATTATTTGGTTAATCTCTTTCCATGCCCCCTCCCTCCTTCCCTCTGAGATTAATCAGTCTCTTCCATATTTCCATGCCTCTGGTTCTATTTTATTCATCAGTTTATTTTGTTCATTAGATTCCACATATAAGTGACATCACATATTTGTCTTTCTCTGACTGGCTTACTTTGTTTAACATAATCATCTCCAGTCCCTCTATGCAGGCTCAAAGGATAATAGATCCTTATTTTTTACAGCTGCATAGTATTCCATTGTGTAAATGTACAAAACTGCCATATGACCCAGTGATTCCACTTCTAGGAATATATCCTAAGAATCCGGAAACACCAACCAGAAAGTATATAAGCACCCCTATTTTCATAGCAGCACTATTTACAATAGCTACAATCTGGAAACAGCCCAAGTGCCTATCAGTAGATGAGTACATCACTTTACTTTCAATCACTGTGTGTCTTTGGATCTCAAATGAGTTTCTTGTATGCATCGTATGTACAGTTTCTGGTTTTTCATTCATTCAGCCATCCCATGTCTCTTGATTGGAGCATTTAATACATTTATATTTAAAGTAATTATTGATAGGTATATAGTTATTGCCATTTTATTAATAGTTTTCTGATTGTTTTTGTAACTCTTCTCTTTTTATTTCTTATTCTCTTGCTCTCTTCTATGTTAATGGATTTCTATAGTGCTATGGTTGGATTCTCTTCTCTTTATTTCTTTCATGTTTCATGGATTTTTGGTTTAAGGTTACCATGTACTTTATATATACCAAGCTATGTTTATAACCACCTATTTTAAGTTGATGGTTGCTTAAGTTCAAATAAATTCCGAAATCTACAATTTTTAGTCACCACCACCCTCAGTT